GTTCCCAGGTTACCTGGCTTCTGACTGGTGAGGCCAAGAGCAGGATCTGATGAAAGACTGAAGGTGGGAGGAAAGCAGCTACAGGGTCTTTCTCCTCTCCTCTTCTCCTCTGACAACATCTCTGGTAGTGGGTGGGCCTCTACCAGGGCTCCAGCTAGTAGATGACAAATCTACCATATGTCCAGTGTCCTCTGAGTGCCCCGTCCTCAGCCCTGGGGTAGGACTGGCTTCCTGCTGTTGAGAATCTCCTAAGTGGCCTCCCTGTGCCCTCTGACGTCTCATCTCTTCTATCACCAGGGTAAAGTCTCTGCATTAAATGTGTCCTATTTTACATACTAAGTGGTTTCTTTTTCCTGACATATATTTTATAGAACAATTTTGCTTTCATTTCATAGCTTATGAATGTTGATAAAGGGAATGTTAAATTATCCATTACCTCAGTTAATCAGATGTAGATAATGGGGCAAAGAATAATAAGATAAAATGACTGCCCTCAGGGAGCTCAGTCTGGCTGGGGAGATAGTGCTTAGCAGAGTACGTGGGAGCTGAGGAGGACTAGACTAGGGTAGTGGTGGGACATCCACCCTCATATCCTTTTCCTGACCAGGATCTGCCCAGTCTGTCTCTGTAGTCATGAAATTTATTGACTGTCTCATCTCCTGCCTCTACCTATCAGACTTTCCTTATCTTCTGATTAAATAAAAGAACTGGCCTCTTTCTGTATGCTTGAAGCCATTTACTTATTTGATAAGGCATTTCATGAGCGTATGTGTCTAGGGATTTCAGAAGTCTAGCAATAAAACATTCCCTGCTAATGGAGAAAGCCTGTAGGTCCACACATTATCAAACCTTCACATGCTAGACACTGTATGTTGAGTGTTCTGCAAAGTTAAAAGAACACAGTGTTTGCCCTCTAGGTGCTCACCATCTGAAAACAAACCTATAGAGATAGAAACTGGCAAGAAAAAATGTTAGAAACAATATCTACCTTAACTTTTCTCCAGTAGGGTTTGGTTTGTGTTGCTGCTCCGGAGTTATGGCCAGGTGTTAGTAGTCTTGAAAGCTAACACTAGAACTCTTTATTCTTTGAAGATTTAAGATGGAATGTACTAGCTTGAGTTCTGGGGCTCTTACTTCCTGGCTCTGCCTCTTATTGTAAGTGTCATTTTGGCCAGATGACTTAATCTCTATGATTCCCATCACTATCTATAAGATGAGGATCATAATAGTGTCTGCCCTAGGATTGCTCCGAGGATTAAATGGCAAAAGGTATGTGATGTGCATAGCACACCTGCTGACACAGTGCAGTGCATGAGCATGATAAATACTCATGCACTACACTGTGTTTCTGCAGCCAGAGCAAAGGCTCTTAAGGCTCAGTTGAGAAAGGTGTGTTGTGTGAGTTCCAAGGTTCATTGCTTTCCTTCCACATGAAAGCTGCTGTGGTTAATCCCGAGATCCTTTGTAGTCACCTTATTTCAATTGCAAAGACAATTCTAGACCATGCTTTCTTCAGGACAAGTTAGTCTTTTGAGTTTTCAAGGCACCTCTTTAATCACATCATACATGATTGGTTGTTGCTTCAGGGCACTTCCTGAAACAAGTTTGAGGCAGGTAAGACCTTTGTGGCAGGTAATACCTTAGAGGAGATTCAGGTATTGCTGCCTCTCTGAAAACTTCTGTTAATATCCATCACCTCCCTCCTCATGTGAGTTTCACACCTATTAATTGAGCACCACTATTTTTTAGTTCTGTATTGGGCTTCAGGGATACAGGATGAACAGACAGTTCCCATTCTCATGAAACTTAGTGTAATGGAAATATATGTAAACAAGTTCAATGGACCCTGATGCAAACACAAATGGAAAGATGTGGAAGGTCAGAGCGGTACCTGGGAAGAATATAAGGAAAGTTTCAGAGATTTTGTGACATCTCAGTAGATCTTGAATGGATTAAGAATAGGGAGGGTCAGCAGGTCAGCATGGTTTGTACAGGGGAACTGGACCATATGTGTGGGTGTGTAGGGGTGTGATTGGGGATGAAATTGAAGATGCAGGCAGGATCATGTAAGAGCTTGGCCTTTCTCCTGTAGACATTGGGGGCTGTTGAGTGATTTTAGGCAACAGAATGCTATAAGATTTGCATTTTAGCAGAATCATCCTTGTGTGGATGGTGAACTTGAGAAGGATGTTAGAGATGTTGGCAGGTTCCTGTCCCCACTGCAGATTTATTAAGACCAGTGACAGAGCCCTATTTACTTCTGTATCCTTGAAGCCTAATACTTTTTAGACATTTAAGAACTGTTATAGAATAAAAACAGCCCAAGTTGAATTTCCCAATTCTGCATCCTATCCTCAGAACATGCTGACCTAGACCTCCATCTGTCATAAGCAGCTTGACTAAGATCATAATAAATTATTTTTGGTTGGCATTCTTTTAACTGGCACTCTCTATTTACTAGCCCCTCTGTGCAACTGTAGTGTGGTGATGATTGATGCTTATAATTCTGACCCTGAAGTACTTCAAGCCTTCTAAATCATCAGAAGGAGATTAAAGTATAGTCAATATCACTGCAATGTTTGTGTGTTTTACTGCATTCTTATTCTTTGGAAATTAATGGTTTATCATGTGCCTGTGTGCTCAGTTGCACGTAGGCACAGCAGGAGTCCATGATCACCCCAACTCTGCTCTCTCTCCTAGTGCCTGCCAGGCACAGAGAGTTTATTGGCAATGTATGCCTAGAAATAGGCAAGCAAAATAAACCCAGGTTTTCTTCTTTCCTGGGAGGAAGCAGGTTGGCCCCAAAGGGGCAGATTGGACAGAGATGAGAGAGGAAGCAGTAGTTGGAAATATAGTGGGAGTGGAGTGCTAAGGCAAGAACTGGTACAGACTAGCGAGACAGGCAATTTACAAGCAAGCCCACGCTAGGGCCTGAGGCAGGGACAACAGCTTCGCAGTCTTGTGTGCCTTGACCGGAATCATCAGGCCTGAACTTGGCAGCAGTGTCTACCAGTTATATTTGTATTACAGTAACAACTGTTCAGTAAAATGCCAAACAGCAAGTGAAAACATCAATAATTAGAGCATCCTGTTTCCCACACTCACACATCTTCTGGTGAAAACCATTATTAGTGCCGAGCTGGCAATATGATTTGGCCCAGAATGCAGAACTCCAAATAGAGGCTATGAGATGGCTGACTCCATTCTGTTACCTGGCTTCCGGGGGGAAAGGCATGTGGTGGTATTACCAGGAGGGAGATTGGCTGTTGGGATTATCTTTTGGGTGTTGTATATTGCAGTAAGTAGAGATGTACAGGTTTGTTTTTCAAATCTGTGTTTGATCAACAAGTTATGCCTTTGTCGGGGAGCCTCACTCATTGTCCAAGCCTGGAAAGGCAGTCCCCAAAACACAGGGATTGTTTGTTACCCTCTAGGCAAGGGCACAGGTGGACTTTAGAGCAAGCTTTACCAACTCGGTGATTTTGGGTGAGTCTCTTAGTATCTCTGGGTCTTACTTTTTCTTCTTCTGAAATATTGGAATAATATAAGTTCCTTCTTTACATGGTTGCTGTGAGGCTGGAATACTATGTTGGATGTGAAAATGCTGAACTGGGAAGCCCTATATGCATAAGAGTAAACTACAGATACTAAAGCACATGATAAATATTCTAATAAAAATAGAAATGTTTCATCAGCAAGCACAGTATCCTCAAAAATTTCCCCAAAGTACAGTGGGGAAAATGAACTAAAATTGAATTCCTACTGTAGAGTAGATGTTCTGGCTGTTACTCTAGCCACTCCACAAGCTCACATGAAATCTCTGTTTCAGAGATGAGGCAATAGCTTCTAGTCACAGCAGTATATCCACATAGCACAGGTGGGATGTGGGCCTGGCTCCAGAACTTAGTGCTCCTTTCCCTTCTCTCTAGTTGTCTGTCTTACTCCATCCCTCCCTCCTCCAAAGTTCTTAAAAGCTGTTCATGTCCTTTGGGGCTAGGGAGTTGCCATTTCTTGGACATCCACACCTGTAGGTGGGGCAGGGCGGATCCAGAGGCCCTGAGCTCCAGGAGCCCCTGGGGGGGCCAGCAGTTCGGAGAGAGTCGGGGTGTAGGGCACACTCAGAGTTGGCAGATCTGGACTGGAGGCAGGTGTGCCCCTTTCCCAGACCTTGAGGAAATGGCTGTAGCCCTGTAGTTTCCGGAAGTTCATCTGTCAAAGTGTGTTTCAATCTCATGCAGGTTGTTTGGTGAGCTGCTTCTTGGGTCCTTCTCCCAGGAATCAGTGCGTCCCCTGCATTCTGACCGGCTCCTTGCTCTGCTTGCAGAGGGAGTGAGTTTAAATTTATCCCATGTAGTAACCACTCTGCTGAGCTTTTCTGGGACCCTCCTGTTGACTTTGATGCCAGATGTAGAGGAAAGGATCCCCAGGGTGGCAGCTCATTACCTGCCCAGTGGAACCCACCGCCGCATGCATTTTCTTTCTTTTTTTTCTTTTTTTAAAAATATATTTTATTGATTTTCTTACAGAGAGGAAGGGAGAGGGATAGAGAGTTAGAAACATCGATGAGAGAGCATCGAAGAG